GGTTTTGGGTTTAGGGTTTAGGGCTAACCCTTGAGACCGACATCGCACCCAGCCCATCATATCCGTCGTAGTCTCCAATCCTAAACTCTGAACGTTAAACCCCTAAACACCACCCTCCTTTCCTGCTTCAGCTGCCCTGGGAGCTGGTCCAGCCCAGACTGCAAGTCTGCCTGTTCTGGGGTTGGGGGGGGGGGGTGGGGAGGCAGTCTGGTTTAGAAATGAATTTGAGGGTTTATAGGGATTGGTGTTAGGGTAGCTGATCCAACACACCACGCACGGGCTCTTGGTAAGGGAGTTAGGAAACTGCATCCCGTGCCAGTTCCTTAACCACAGCTGCACGACAATAGGACAAGAGGGCCGAACACAGGAGGTTTGCCCGAGCAGGCCGCCCGGACGTTTAACAACAAACTGCTAATTACTCGATCTACAGCAAACTTTTCACGCCCTTCAAAACACACGAAATGGCCCTCAGTTTTATAACCCCTCTTTGAACCTGCCGCCCTAAACCCTAAACCCTAAACCCTAAACCCGAAACCCTTTTGCAGCAGGCTTTGGAAGGTTGCGCCCGGACTTTTTTTGGCCATGCGGTGTTCGCACAGCAGGAGGTTCCAAGGCCTCCAGTTTCTGAACCCATTTACCACTGATTTCACTGCAAAGGAGAATATACTGAAACATCTTGAACGCTTGTTGGGATACACTCTCTATCTCGGGAGAACGAAACCCTAAACCCTAAACCCCAAGCCCAAAACCCAAAACCCTAAACCCTAAACCTCGCTTTTTGCTACTGGACTCTAACCCTAAACCCTCAACCCTCAACCCTAAACCCTAAACCCCCTTCTGGGACAAGCTGGGCCTCCTTGAGGTTGGGACTGCACAGCACCTCCGTCACATCCTGGCTGCGGCTGCATGTGCTTGAAGGTGCGCGGGCATAAGTAGGGTGCAGGGTTGGGCTTAGGGTTTAGGGTTTAGGGTTTAGGGCTACAGGTAGGGCGTAAGGCTTTAAACTTGAAGGTTCATGGGCAGTTCTCATTACCCGTGAGGTCTTATAGGGCCTAGCCCAGAGGCTAGGGGTCCTGTACTTGGAGGTGTCATGGGAAGCTCTGTACAACGGACGATGTGCACAATTAGGGGTCGCAAAATCAGAGTGCAGGGTCTCTAGGTCTCATCCCCCCCCTCCTTTTTTTGGCGGCAGGTCCGCTCCCCCAAACCCAAAACCTTTTTGCAACGGGCTTGCGATGAAACCCTGTTGCCCTAAAGCCCTAAACCTTACATCCTAAAACCTTTTGGCGCCAGGGCTCTCTCAAGTGCCTAGTTGCAGACTGTTCCTAAACCCGAAACCCCGAACAAACCCTAAACCCTAACCCTGAGAACCCTAAACCCTTAACCCCTTAAACCCTAAACCCTTTTAACCCTAAACCCTAAACCCTAGCCCTAAACCCTAAACCCTAAACCCTAAACCCTAAACCTTTCAAAAGGGCACAGGACTCCTCCGGGTCGAAACCTTCCGAGGTGAGGGCGCGGTGCAGGGGGAGCTGCTCCGAGATCGGCGGCAGGCAGGGCCTGTGGAAGACCTGAGCTTCGGGGGGGTAGGTTTAGGGTTTAGGGTTTAGGGTTTAGGGTTTAGGGTTGAGGGTTGAGGGTTGAGGGTTGAGGGTTCTTTGTTTTGCCACCCGCACTGCTTAGGGTTTAGGGCCCTAAAGTACAAAGCCCGACACTTCAAACCCAACATCCCAAACGCGTCGAGCCGCCCCGAGGAAGCAGCTGAGGCAGCTTTCGGGAAGAAGTGTCCTCACCAGCCCCTGCCCAAGCAGAGCTAACTAGGCAGGGGTTGGGGTTCAGGGTTCAGGGTTCAGGGTTCAGGGTTCAGGGTTCAGGGTTCAGGGTTTAGGGTTTAGGGTTTAGGGTTTAGGGTTTAGGGTTTAGGGTTTAGGGTTTAGAGTTTAGGGTTTAGGGTTTGGGGTTTGGGGTTTGGGGTTTTGGGTTCAGGGTTTAGGGTTTAGGGTTTAGGGATTCAGTTAGTTAGGGAAGATTCAGGGCAAGGGGTTTCGCATCTATGACGGGGGCGAGGTTCGGCTTTGGGCCTTGGCGAGATTTGCTGTGGGCTCGCCCCCCTACAGTAAACCCCACAAAAGTTGGAAACCTTCTTAAGGACAAATCGTGCTGGGATTCCTTATACCTTACTCTTAGGGATTGAGGCTGTTGAGCTACTTTAGGGACCGAATGATGTGTAAGCCTCAAAGACTCTCAGACTTAGGGTTTAGGGTTTAGGGTTTGGGGTTTAGGGTTTAGGGTTTAGGGTTTAGGGTTTAGGGTTTAGGGTTTAGGGCAATGTTCACACACATGCACATGCCCACATCGACAGCAACTTGGGATGCCTGCCAAGAAGTCTGCGGAAATTCATCTCGAGGCTGCTTGGCTGGTTGTCCCTAAAACCCTAAACCCTAAACCCTAAACCCTAAACCCCAAACCCTAAACCGTGGTTGCATCCAGGTCTGTGGTTTGGTTGCCTTTGAGACCTCAAACCCTGAACCCTGTGTGGTGTGAGGCTGCTATACAAGTGGAAAAGCCCCTTACCCCTTGCACGCCTTGCCATCCCCCCAAGGACACGTCACAAAGCCCCGAGGGCGGCGGATGGTTCCCTTAGGGTTTAGGGTTTAGGGTTTGTGTGAAATTGGGTACCCAGACCGCAGCTCTGTTCTCTATGCCCTAAACCCCGAAACCCCATTCACCGTGACTTTTTGTGGGCACCGGATTCCATCAAACCCTAAACCCTGAACCCTAAACCCTAAAACCCGAAACCCTTAAGCCCTGAGCCCCAAACCTGTGCTGCAAGTGAGCCCGAAGAAGAATGTTCGACGGCTCATCCGTGGACGCATGCTCTTTGAAGCCACGACTCAGGACCTTAGAGCCTTCTTCAAACGAGCCAAACACTAAACAAGTACTACTAAACCCTAAACCCTAAACACTAAACCCTAAACCCTGAACCCTAAAGCCTAAACCCTAAACCCTATCACCAACCGCAGCTCTGCCAGCCTCTGAATTGCTCTCGAGGATCCAGGGTTTAGGGTCCAAACCCAATTAGGTTTAGGGTTTAGGGTTTAGGGTTTAGGGTTTAGGGTTTAGGGTTTAGGGTTTAGGGTTTAGGGTTTAGGGTTTAGGGTTTAGGGTTTAGGGCTTAGGGTTGAAACAAGAAGCGCTGAGCCTGCAGCCACACCATGGAGGCCAGGAAAAGCGACAGCAGGCCTTTCCAGGATCGGAGATAGTCAGCACCACTGGGGATTTAGGTTTGCGTTTTGGGGTTTTGGGGTTTTGGGGTTTTGGAGTTTTGGGGTTTTGGGGGTTTTGGGGTTTTGAGGTTTTGGGGGTTTGGGGGTTTTGGGGGTTTTGGGGTTTTGGGGTTTCGGGGTTTCGTGTTTTTTGGTGCCCGCATAGCTGGACGAACCACTCTGCAGGGATTCTGGTACGATGACTGTTTGCATGACCGGAATGGAGGGAGACCTTCGATTCTCGCGAGCCTGTTTTCGCGTTTAGGGTTTCGGGCCAGTTTAGGGAAAAGGCTCCCCCCCACCCTCCCCAAACAAAAAAAAAAGTCTGGACCCGACGACCATCATCTCTGACGAGTCTGGGGTCCATCTTGCGAAAGGCCCACCCCTCCAACCACAAGTTGGGGCATTCTTGCTAGGCGTCCTGGCTAATCTAGACCCAAGAGTAATCTAGGAATACACAGGGTGCCCCTTTTTTGGTTAAAGGGGCTTGTAAGGGAACCTTCCTTAAACAAAAAAGTAAGGGCCGAGTCTGGGTCCTAGCAATGTAAAGGTTCGCATGTACCGAAGCTGCAGTATCGCACCCAGCAAGCCAACAAGGCTACCTGTGGGCAGGAGTGACCGAGCCCTCCTTTTCATGTCGGAATGTCAACCCAAGCTCAGAAACGGGTAGCAAGAACTCAAGCAAAAAAAAAAAGTCCCTAAACCCTAAACCCTAAACCCCAAACCCCAAAACCCTAAACCCCGAAAACCTACGCCCTGGGCTGGCGGCCTGGGCCCACCGGCTGCGGCAAAGGGTGCCCAGGAAGTGCCCCAAACCCTAAACCCTAAACCCTCAACCCTAAACCCTGAACCCCAAATGGCTGATTTTGGGCTTCGAGTGCATCTAAGAACTACAGGAACTGACTGAAAAAAAACACTCATGTTCCTTACGATTATAAGAACTCCGAAAAATACTCGTGTTGCTTATGATGCCCTTGTGAATGTGATGTGCGCTGTCCTTTCGTTTCTTGCGGCTTCTTGCATGACTCAAGGTTCAAGCTGCAAGGTGATTTTGAAGGCCAGTGGCCCAGCTATGCAACGTACACAAGTCATACAAACGGTTTAGGGTTTAGGGTTTAGGGTTTAGGGCTTAGGGCTTAGGGTTTAGGGTTCAAAATTCAAGGCAGTCCGTCTTTGAGGCCAAGAAGCCCTCAACCCTCAACCCGAAGTGCTGGGGAGTCTGGGACCCTTTGCACCCTGGTGCGTGCTGCGAGCCAGCGTTGCAACTCAGCGCGCGGATCTAGTGCTTTCGGTTTAGGGTTTAGGGTTTAGGGTTTAGGGTTTAGGGTTTAGGGTTTAGGGTTTAGGGTTTAGGGTTTAGGGTTTAGGGTTTAGGGTTTAGGGTTTAGGGTGAATCCTGGACTCCTCATGGATACATTACCTGACACCAGTGCCCCAAGCCTTAGATTCTGCAAAAGCAGGAAAGCGGCAAGACTCACCCCTGCATATTCCGAAGTGGTCTCGGCAGAACGAAGCCCCAGGGAAGAGACGGACAAGAGTAGTCACAAAAGCGTGATAAATCCAAAGCTCCGAACCCTCAAACCGAAAACAACCAATCTTGAATCCCAAGTAGGTGTGCGTTGAGCAACAAAACCCCATTCACCCCTACTAAACCTCAATGAACCAAATTAAACCCCATTTACCCTTATTAAATCCTACTAAGCCCAACAAAACCCGGAACGATGAGTCCCATGCCACGTTTCAGCAGCGCCAGTAAGATACCCAACCTTTGCAGAGCTGGGACACCGGCTCGATGTTGAGGGGACGTATATAACTTTAACTGATAACTACCATTGATACGATGGAGAAACAAAAACCCAAAAGAACGACGTGTTGACGAAATTCCAAGCCGAAGATCGAGCAAAGGGCGGTACAGGGCCCTTTGCTTCGTTCTGGGCACTGCACAAACTAAGAAAGGAACCTTGTGAGGCGGCACGTCTGTCTTGCGTTTGGTGCCCCGGGTATCGAACACGCTTGAAACCTGAAGTTGTGCATCAAACGTAGTGTGTAAGCATCATACTGGCCGGATGTCACCCTAAACCCCCAATCCTAAGAACCAAGAAGTTTCGGGGGCGTCTAGTAGAAATGCAAGGACCCTCCTGCCGAAAACCCTCCGAAACAGAACGAACTTCGCACCCAAGTTCCTGCCTCTCTTCTCTAAATCCTAAACCCGAAACCCTATGCGGAGCTGCAGTTGGTATTGTAGAAAGGAGTTGATGTTGGAAGGTGAAGGGGTCAATGTACCCGGTACAAATTTTTGGCTCAAGGAACTTGGGCATGCGCCCTGAAGAAAGAAGTGTGTGTTGGTTTTGGGTTGGTTTGGTGTTGGTTGGTCCAGGGGATCAAGGGCTTCTGTTGGGGTTGACTGTTTTGTTCCCTGTCCCCCTTCGGTTGCCCCCCGTAGGTTATGAGCCCAAATTAGGTTCCCTGCCGTTTGTGTTTCGGCTTTAGGGTGGAAGTTTGAAGCCATGGCGACCAACTGGTTACGGACTGGTGCGGCATCATCGAGCTCCAATGTGGGCGACCAAGGTGAAGGTGGTGTCAAAAGGTCTGCAACGGGTGAAAAAGTTGTTCCCAATGTGGAAGCTCTGGTTGATGCTGGTGGCATGCGTGGCGAAGAGAAGCCGGTGGTGGAAGGACTGGAAGACCAGGTGGAAGCAGTTTTGCTGCGCCTTCTGAGCAAACATGGGCATCTTCTTCGAGCTGCGGAATTTGCTGAATCAACGGGAGCGCCAACAACAAGCTCCTCTACGTCAAAGATGGTGGAGCAAGCGTGCCAGACAGAACTGGTTGGGGATGTTATCCCTGTTTCCAAGCGAGCTCGCAACAAAGTGAGCTTCGCGGCTGAAAGTGGTGATCTGTTGACAGGTGAAGCGGAAGAAACTGCGCCTGTTGCTGCGACAAAAGGCAGTATCCTCGTTGTTGGGGACGCAGAAGGAGTCGTTCCTGTTGCTATGGTGATGAGCGAAGGAGAAATCCTGGAATTGGAGGCAGCGAGAATACAGCAGGAGTCAGATGAAGACTTATACGCTGATGGTGGAGGCAAAGTGTCTCAAGCTGCTGACCTTCCAATCATCGACTGCGATGGGAAGACATGGGAACGCCATTTTCACGAGGATGGGAGAGAATATCTTTACTGCTTAGACACGGGAGAAACCCAATGGGTGTTGCCGAAGAAGACTGGGATGGCTGGAAACAGTGAAGGGTCTGGTGTTGGAATGGGCATTGTCCCTGTGGAAGAAGAGCCAGCACTGGGTACTACTTCGTCCTACTGAGTCCTTCAGGGCACAACAGGGTAGCATGGAAAGTGTCAACAGCGGTGTAAATAGTGTAGGTGAAAAGGATTTTTCCTCTACTATCAGGGATAGCGGTCTTAGGGCTGGTGGTGACGCCCCGACCTCGGGTTCTCCTGATGAGGAAGGGAATTCTGGAATCCGAGCAGACATCGCTGAAGAACATCTGGATCAGGAAGAAATGGAAGCGCTTTCTGAGGGTGTGGCAGCGGTGGAATCGGGGGGTCCAGAAGAAAAAGTGCCCAATGTGGAGATCGGAACTGTGTCGGCTGCAGAAGAGCGAGTGGTGGATGTGGTACCTGTCGTTCAGGAAGGTGGTCCTGGAGATTCGGAAGACGGAGGGAAAAAGTTGTGTGTTACGACTGAGGAGGTCTCTTCGTTTGGTGCCAAGAATCTTGCCATTCAAGGGGAAAAAGAAGCTTCTGGAATAGCTGGAGACACGGAAGATCTGAAAGATGAGGCCTGGAGCGCCAATGATGCGCGGGTCAATGCGCCAGATAGTACCTGGAGTGCGAAAGAGGCACGGGTTGAGGTGCATATGGTGTCACGTTCCACGGGCGACTGCAACAATGGGGCGCAGGTCTCCGCAGTAGCTGATGACGGAGGTTCACAGGTGGACGCACTGGTGCAACCTGAAGTTAGCTGCGAGGAACGAAATGGCAAGGGCTACACCGGAGCCGATGAGGCAGCTGTGGTCAATGATGGTGGCAATTCTCCTTTGGAAACCATGGAACCAAAGGAGCCTGCGGTGGAAGAAAATGTACCTGCCGTGGATGAGCAATTCAATAGCCCTGCAGTGGAAGAAAATTTGCCTGCTGCAGAAGGCATGACAAAAGACTCCAATGATGGGTCCACTCCCATGAAGGGGGAAGTATTGCCGTCTGGAAGCTCGCCGGAAGTCGACACCGAGCGAACTGCAGCAGATGAGGCAAGGCCATTGGCTGGAAAAAAGGAAGGTCCTGAGCCCCTGGAGCACAAGATGGATGATCTTGTGGGACTCGTGCAGGAGCAGGACGAGCAGTGTGACCCAAAGGTGGAAACAAAGGATGTTCCAGGAGCCGATGATACAGAGATGGTTTCTGAAGAGCATGCAAAGAAAGTGCCCCGAGCGGGAGCCTTGGAATCACCTGGGGAACATTGCTATCAAGAGGGAGATGAGATCGTTGGTCTAGTGCGCTGCATCAATGGGTATGGAGCCTTTTTGGACCATGGTGATGTGAATGTACTGGTTCCTGCAGAAGGGAACAACGCACATCAGTTCAAATTTGGTGATACTGTCAATGGAACAGTGAAACGAGTGGAAGATGATGGTACCATGATCTTGGACACCTTTCTGGTTTTGGAAGAGGACGAGGAGGACTCTTCTTCGACGCTGCGCAAATGGAAATCCAGCGGCTGGAGTACGTGGTGGACAGATTCATGGTATGCTGGTCAATGGTACCAAGATTCCAACAGTCAATGGGACTGGAAACAGGAGGAAGAGCAATCCGATGAAGGGTTTGCTGATCAGGAGTTATCCTCAGAAGAACGAGAGGAAAGGCAACTTTATGGAGAAAAGATCTATAAAGCTCTTCTTGAGGATGGGAAGGCTGATAAGGCCTATGTGGGTAAAATCACTGGGATGCTGTTGGGTCGCCCAATGGAAGAGCTACAGGAGTGTGTTGCAGATCATGCATTCCTCAATGCGGAAGCTCGGCGCGCGTATGGCATCTTGCAAAGTGATGGTTGGAAGCCTGATGGTACGGAAAGCACAGGCTTGGGAAAGATAACCGCCTTTTCCCGAAAACAGTACCACAACGCGCTTTTCGAACTGGCATGCAGAAAAAGGAGAGTTACTCGACCAGTTGTGGGTGAAGCGGTGGCAACGGTGCTGAGTCAAGGGGAAGATGAGCTTTGGAACGCGCTTTGGCTGGACACCAAGCGATTTTTGCAGGAGCTTGATGGTGCAGTGGAATCCATGAGTAAAAGGGAGAACAAGCCAATGGAAGCCTACATGGATCCTGACCAGTACAAAAAGGCTTACATGACTCCAAAGACTGTGTGTCACCTGGATACAGCAAGCTGTGCAAGTTCTTCAATCGGGGAAGGTGTCGCAATGGTGATGAGTGTTCCTATGAGCATCGTCGTTATGGTGAAGGTTGGCCAGGAGGAGGATCAACTGAGCCAAAGAACAGCCAAGAAGCTGGAGATGAGGATGGGAACATTGGTGACCCTCCCACAGAGGAAGGCACAGTGGATGAGGCACAGCAGGAGCGGGAGGATTCAGCCTTCCGGGCCAAGTACAACTTTGGTAAAGGTGCATCAAAGGGTGAACCTACGTCGGGTGAGCCAAAAAGTCGGCTGTGTCTGTATTGCAATCAAGGTGGTTGTAAATATGGGACTACATGCAGGTATCTTCACGACGATGACATAGCGTTGGAAGGGACTTGGGAACCCGGCAAATCTTGGGACAATGCTTCCAGGAAGGCACTAAGGGACGCGGGGTTCCATCATTGCTGCTTCGACTACTACCTCAAAGGGAGATGTCGCGTCCGATTTGGCTGCAAGTACTCTCACGAAGAAATGTCTGAAGACCGGCTGGCCCAATTGAAGCATCTGGTGAATGTGGCGAACCATGTGTCATTTCAAAGGGGAAGAGGATTGGAGATTCCCGACAGGAACGCCTTTCAACCACCGGTAAGTGGGGGAGCAGAATCTTCGTCCTCCTCGGCACCAAAAGCGCTGCAAATGACCAATGTGTCACAAAAACAAGGTGAAAAAGGTACCCTGGATGAAGCAGAAGATGATGAACAAAAGAATTCGGTGGCTGAGTCCACTGGTACTCTGCTTCAAAATCCAGAGGAGCCAATTGAAAACTGGATGGCTCGCAACGAACACCTTTGGGTGTATACCCCTCATGTGAGTGAGGTGATGATTACACTTGGTGTGACCAATGTGTCGGATCTGCAGGAGTTCATCTTTGTGGAAGATCTGGTTGACAAAGGGATCAACAAAGTGACCGCGTGCAAAATTTTGCAATTGGTGTGTGGTGTCCGATATCGTCCGGAGGGACCGGAAAAAGCAGTTCCTTCCGATGCATCTGTACAGGTACAACAATCTTCTGGGAGCAAGGAAGCTGGAAGAGAGGCGGTGCGAACCCTCGCTCAGGTGCGTGAAGCTGAAGGCTCCGGTGCAAAAACAATGCCGCGAGGCTCCTATCGGGAGCTTTTTGATAAGGTCAAGTACCGGGATGCTTGGACGCTTGCGCAGAGGTCTCCGCTGTGCGTACAGAAGCTGCAGTTGGTGGGAGTTGGAATGCCGCCGGTGAACCCGCCAACCAAAAAGTATCGGTCAAGATCAAACCCTGTAAAAAGGGGAAGGCCCTTGCTGGATAAAAAACAGGTGCGACAGGTGCCACGCTCTCGCTCACAACGGCGAGTGCAGCCGGCGGAAGTGGTGGAAAAGCCAAAACCACTAGAACTGAAGCCTCGTGGTGGGTTGTCGTATCGGTTCAGCAGAGCGTGGGCAGATGTGGTGGATGATGATGATCAGGCAGAGGCTTTGGTCTCTTATGCCGATTCCTCAGGCGATTCAAGCGAGGAAGAGACCAATGCCGCGCGACGCATGAGGGAAATCTTTTTGCGAGAAAGGGATTCACAGAGAACTGCGATTCGTGGCAGTGTTCCGATGGATGGTTCTTCAAGCCCCAATGATGGGCAGAAAAAATCGGTTCACCTTGGCGAAGGGCGCGACAAAGCGTCGCGGGGGGAGACCCGCCAAGAAGTGACTTCTCAAGTTTTTTCGCTACCACAACCTTCTCGTCGAACTGAACAGTCTCAAAAAAGAGCAAGGGATGGCTCAGTTATAGTTGGTTCGCTGGCGGTGGGCTCCACGGATGAGGTTTTACCTGGGCAAGGTGTTGCTGGACAGGTGAATGTATCTGAAAGCGCTCAAGTTCTTCCTGGGCAAGAAGTGGCTGGACAGGAGACGGCGCTGGAAGGAGCAGTGCAAATTTCTGGCGAGGAGACTGGTCAAAAAGAAGGAGAAGGTGGGAGCAATGAACTCCGTGGTGATGGTGCGAAGACATTGGATGTTCGTCCGGTGAAGAGGGACCCTCAGCAATTGCTTATTAAGGGCCTCCTGAGTCGGATTTATTGGAAGGTTGCTGTCGGCAAGTTGCCTGTGGGGCAAAGGGACTGTCAGAAGGGGTCCAATAAGATGGATCGACATTTGGTTATTAGCATGTCATCCGAAGGTGCAAGTGAACAGGATTTGAACCTGGCACTGGAGGACGATGCTGAGCAGTCAATGGATGATGGTGCAATGGTGGTCATGGTGTATGATCCACGAGTGCTGATTCAGTCGCCAACAACTGATTGGGTTATGCGTCGCGGTTTGACCGATCGCACCATCTGGCCGGCAATAGCAACTGAGGCACGGAGAATATGTGCTGAAATGGTTCAAGTGGATGAATTGAATGCCCAGCTAGGGACTGGGACACTCCTTTTTCAAAGGAGAGATCAAGGACATTATGGTGATTTGCATCATTCGTTCCATGACAATCCGTGCTTGCCGGTGGTGGGAAATTATCCTCTCTCGGTGATGGGTGCATTGCTGTCTCCTGGTCTGGAAGGGGAATTCAAAAATACTGATAAGTTTGGAACTGCTATGGAGGCAATTGCCTACGATTGGAGTCGCAGTCCAGGCATGGAAGTTCACGTCGAACTTATGGCGAGGGTGGCCAAATTGGTTGCTCCGTTCCTTACCCTAGGAGGCCAAGGGTCAGTGGTGATTTCGGAATTTCTCTGGCAGCGCGGGAAGGCTCAATTGATGGAGTTTCTTCAGGCGGCGACATGTGCCGATCAATTGGAGGTTCTCTGGGAAAGGATGGACGACGATGCTGATGAGGAAGTGGATCCTTCCACAATGGTGCTGGAGATTCTTGGACAGGAAGATGCGGTACTTGATCAAGGGAACAATGAATCCCTTATTCCCATTGAAGATGCTGGAGGTGAGACAATTGGTGACACTGGAAGGGATGGCAAAGCGCCAGAAGTTTCCCCAGAAGAGGAGACATCCAGTGGGTCGTCAAGATTGGCTGGCACAAGGATGTTCTTGTGGTCAGTGTATGCTCGCGTTACTTCCAACTGGGATTTTTCTACGCAGGACCGCACGACTGGTAAGATCTTTGACAGCACAAAGGGGTATCCTGGTGAAGGACCAGACAATGGTGATGATTCTTCCTCTAAGAGGAACTTACCCTGGATCTCTGAAGACTACCTCGACGAAGTGGTGTCAAAAAAGATGGAAAGGTCTTCAGATATGGATAGGTTGGATGGGTTTGTTCCGGAAAGTGAGGGACAGTTGGAAAAGGTAGAGGTGGAGAATGTTACTGCCTCTAGAATTCTTATGGCTCTTTGGAAGAAGGGATATATAGAGCTGGGTATAGGAGGTTGTGTCGTTTGAACGTATCTGGATGCAAGGTTGGAGCAATGAAACATCCAATCAAAAGGGTGCAGAAGATCGGCACTAGAAAGGCCTTCATGAAAATGTTCAATGTTTTTGGATTGTCTCAGCGTGGCTCAGGAGCTGGCGGAAAACCAATCATGAAGGTGGTAGGACCAAGGCCAGGTTTTCCAGCTGTACTCCAGGCATCAAATACTGATAGCACCTTGGGTGAAGGGAGCAGTTTTCAGGTACATGGCAATGTTCATGTAGAGCAGAATCGCCCTATGGACCGGTACGAGGCGGAGCGCTTGGAGAAGAGGAAGAAAGGCTTCTGCTATTGGTTCAGCAGGGGAAAAGATCGCTGCAAATTTGGTGAAGACTGCAAATTCATCCATTCAGAAGATGATGCGGTGCTGCATTCGTATTGGTGCAAATACTATGTGGCGGGGAGACCCTGTTTCGCTGGAAAGGAGTGTGCGTTCTCGCATGATGCAACTGGTGTAAGGTGCATCCAGTTTGCTCAGTCTGGGAAGTGTCGTTATGGTGACAGGTGTGTCTTTGAGCATGGTGATCCGCTGGATGAACAGAGACCAAGGTCTCCAAGGACGCCCCCAAGGGATGGTCCAAGGAGAAGTTCTGGTTCAAAAGGTGGAGAAAAGGAGATCTCTCCTGAACGGTTCGATGATGGGGAGGAGGATTTCATGGTTTATGACGATGATACCAAAATAGTGGAACTGTTGATGGAGGCGATTTCATTTATGTCCAATGGCAAGTCAGATTTGGCTCGTGCCGAGGCGGACCCGCTGTTCAAACTCCTGAATTTCACAGGAGACACTGATCAACTGGATAGAGAATGGTGTTCGTGGACCACTGGTATGCTGTCCGTGCTGGAACTTCACGAAGTAGTGAAGTCGTATGAGGTTTCGCTCGCGGAGGTGGAAGAATGGGTCAATGACCTGAGGATATGGTTCGAGCGAGCCAACGTGGGAGAAGAGGAAGTTCCCAAAAGGGGCAAAAAGAGGTCCCTAGAAAGGGAGTCCAGCAAGGATATTCCTGCCGAAAAGGAGGTGGTTGAGACTTCGGAGACGGAGGTTGCCGTTGAGGAGGAGGTGAAAAAGGTCAAAAAGAAGAGGAAAACTGCAGCTATCGAAGATCCTTACACTCTCATGGTTCCAAAGCCGAAGAAGATGCCGGCGAACATTGAGAAGGGTGGATCATCATCCAATGCGGTGGTTTCTGCAGGGGAAAAAGCCTCGAAAATGCGCACAAAGTCAAGCGTCGTTGGAAAGACGAAGAAGAAGGAGAAAAGTCAAAGCCCCAAAAAGGAAGAGGTGGTAAAGGGTCCTGAGGAAAAGGATCGTTCCTCTGATGTGGATGCGCAAGCGTCTACCGCGGTGGATGCAGAGCTGGGTCAATCTTGCCAAGCGATTGAGGACGCAAAGAGAGAAGGATTGGTATCCTCAATTCAAAGGTGCGTGCAGGATCCTGTTCTTACAGTATCGGACCTGGAGTATGTTCTGCTGCGACTTCACCTGAGTATCGATACCCATCGGAAGAAGAAGTGACTGGATGGGATGGATGAAGAGATGGTTTTTCTCTTTCAGAAGACAGGTGCGCTGGAACAGCCAATGTGCTGAGAATATGGTGGTTACTATTAAGGGTATGGAAATCCCTGATAGTAGAAGTCAGTAGCTTTTCGCGTAGCGAAGACCACGGTTTGTGGTGAAGAAGACCGAAGAGTCTTCAATGAAAAGAGGATCATGGTGAAAAAAGATTCTCTGTGGTTAGTGGGTTTAGCCAATGTGCTATAATTTCGTCCTGGATGACGTAAAACCATATTGTGCATTTCAAGCAGCTGGCTGCTGCCTAAATGGCGGTTTTTGGCCAAAGATCTGCACCTCCAATGTGTCCTAGGAAATCCTAGGACAGGGGGAGTGCGGAGCTGCAGTTGGTATTGTAGAAAGGAGTTGATGTTGGAAGGTGAAGGGGTCAATGTACCCGGTACAAATTTTTGGCTCAAGGAACTTGGGCATGCGCCCTGAAGAAAGAAGTGTGTGTTGGTTTTGGGTTGGTTTGGTGTTGGTTGGTCCAGGGGATCAAGGGCCTGTTTTGTTCCCTGTCCCCCTTCGGTTGCCCCCCGTACCCTAAACCCTGCGGCCCGAGTGGCACAGCGTTCATGCCGGCAAGGGTATCCCCGATGGAGAGGTTGGGCCGCACCGGAGGCTCACCCGGAACGCCTTAGCGTTTAGGGTTTTTGGGTTTAGGGTTTAGGGTTTAGGGTTTAGGGTTAGGGATTAGGGCTAGGGTTTAGGGTTTACTGGGTCCTTTTTGGGGATATATTAAAATTATCATTGTTAATCCTTATTGGGGTTTTATGATACCAAAAATGTAAAATGAAAGCCAGCAAGGACCTAGTTTGGGGTTTGGGGTTTAGGGCTTTGTTCCAGGGGGGAACGTCTCAACAAGCCACCTTACCCAGAGAGACACCTTAAATTGCTTTGTGCCGTTCTCGCTGCGTAAGCCCGGACTTTTGTAAGGTGCAAGTCTATGAGCACGGTAAGCCCGAAGAGAACCCACATACAGGGCCATGTTCTTGCATGGCTAAACATGAGCCTTCAAGCAGGTCCCTTTCATATAGACCCTGGATCAATATGAAATAAGCCCAGCCCCCAAAATGCTTCCGGCCAGTCTGTTCAGCGTGCCAATGTTTCCTAAACCCCTAAGCCAGGTTCGTTTTTAGGCTCTCATTTCACGGTCCATCCCTTTAAAGGACAGCAATCCCATATGGTGAGTTCTCCAACTTTTGAGCCCTAAATATACGGGCCCGTTTTATAATCGTATTCCCGAAACGGACCGTGTTGAAGTGACTACATGGGCTTTGCCAAAGGTTCGTTAGGTTCGCGGCATCTGGGTTGAAGGGACAGCTTTGGATGGAGGCGTCGTTTTGCTTGTGGAGCAGCTGCCTTTGCAAGGGGCACAGGATGTTGGGTTGACGTCTAAGCCTTTAGAGAGCTCAAGATTCAAGGCCTTGCGTATTTTAGGCGAACAACAGTAAGTATCGAGAGCCGCGGCCGGGCATCAAGATTGAACCTCCGCTGCTCTCCCTCAAGAAATGCATGCTGCGGTCAGACCAGCTGGCATGCTATCCAAAGCACCTCGACCCTGAACCCCAAAAAGCTTCTGGACCCCCCCCCCCCCCTCCCTCCCCCAAACCCTAAACCCTAAATTAAACCCCAAACCCTAAACCCGAAAGCCTTTAGACCTCTGAACCCGAGTGCGGCAGGGGCACCGTTGACAAAGCGGAAGCCGCCGACACCCTCGCAAACTGATGCGAAGCCGGGCTCACTGCACCTGGGAGAAGCACTACCTGGAGCCCAAACAACCTACCTGTCTAGGGTTTATGGTTGAGTGTGTAGGGGATATAAACAAGGAAATCAGAGCAAGGAATTCCTAAAAAGGTCAGGTTTTTTTCGGGCTACAGCCATGGTAGGGGTTTGGGGTTTAGGGTGCTTGTGGCGCCCGCATTCGGGTTTAGGGCTTGGGGCATAAGCAGACTGTAAGAGGGCCCTGTAAGAGGGCCCTGGGTTTAGGGTTTAGGGTTTAGGGCCTAGGGACTTCATGTAATCAGGTAACGTAAGCATCATCGGCCCAAGCCGACTTTGGAAAACCCATGTATGAATCGAGCCTTGGCGCTTCTCATCTGGCTGGTTCTTAGTAGGGAATGAGGGAATGAAGTACCTGCATAATCCCTTAAAGGGTATATATAGCCAAACCCTAAACCCCAAACCCTAAACCCTAAACCCTAAACCCTACACCCTAAACCCTAAACCCTGCCCTCATTCCCTACTTAGAGCCAGGGTGCCTAGGAAAATGTAGGGTAAGCCCCAACACCGAATGCTCTCTTCAAAGGCCGGCAGCGCCAGAGTTCTCAAGAGCTCTGGCAACCCCTAGGGGGGTTTAGGGTTTAGGGTTTAGGGTTTAGGGCTAAGCCTACGCCCTACATAGGGTTTCGGATTAGGGGGGCCTTGGGGATAGAGACTAAGAGAGCCAGAAGAGGGTTCAGAAGGGCTCCCTTTTAAGGGTCCCCCTTGTCCTACCTAGGACTACACCCACAGGACCTACAGTTGTTGGAGGCAGGCATTCCCTAAACCGTACCTGTAACCCAAAAAACCTTTCTTTTTAGGCGTTCCTTGCTATGATTTCCTTGTATATCCCCTCAAAAAGGTAGGTGTTTTGGGCTACAGGTACAGGGTTCCGGGCTTTGGGGTTTGGGGTGTAGGGTTTAGGGGGTTAGGATTTTGAGCTTTCTGTCGCCCGCCAAGTAGACTCGCCAAACAATGAAACAAGTTGAACAACAGCGAAAAGCACACATGCATGTCTTTATTGACAGAAACACACACGCACAGACCATAACCACAACCCCACAACCCTAAAACCTGAACCCTGAACCCTACACCCCCATGAAGGAAGGCTGAGCCACTTCGGCCCAGTTTGCCCGTAGCCGGACCTGATCTTCACGTCATCAAGGCATCGGTGATCTTGTTGTTTTCTTTTTCTGGGGGGGGGGGGGGTTCAGGGTTTAGGGTTTAGGTTGGGATGTTCCCCCTTCTTAATAGGGATGACAGTAACCCCCTACTATAATCCCTCCTAAGGACTGTTAGTATAAGGGGGAACATCCCAGGGTTAGGGGTTTGAGGGCTGAGGGCTTGGTTTGGCGCTTAGGGTCCAGAGGGTTTCCTTCAGGATTGCGATTTTTGGGGCTAAGGTATTAGGATTTAGGGTTTTTTTCTTTTTTTTGGGGGGGGGGGGGGGGGGGGGGGTAGGGTTTTTAGGGTCATGACCCCACCTACTTTCACCAAAGAGCAGAAGGAACCCTCAACCCTAAACCCTAAACCCTAAACCGGGCTCTGGGAAAACACTGATGTGTCGGGGCGCACGCGCAAGTTTCAGCGACCTTCCTTGACAGCGCCCCTTCGACCCAAAGCCCCTCTTTTGTGGGTTTTTGGGTTTAGGGTACCCTAAACCCTAAACCCTAAACCCCAAACCCTAAACCCTAAACTACACCCTAATCCCCAGACCTTAAACACCAAATTTCGAACAGTCCCTCGGCCCCGCAAGCCGAGCCCCAGCAATCCTTAGTCATCCTAAACCCTAAACCCTAAACCCTAAACCCTATACCCTAAAACATCCCACAGGAGTGCGGGTTAGTGTGTGTGTGTGTGTGTGTGTGTGTGTTGTGATATCAAGTATCCGGTGGTTTGCACTTTCTGATCACACCCTCGACCATCGGAAGCCCATAGCAGTCATGCGGCACTCTGGCGACTACAAGGCCAGGGTTGTCCTTGCCTTGGAAGGATTTTTTGGGTTTAGGGTTTAGGGTTTATGGTTAGGGGTTTAGGGTTCAGGGTTCAGGGTTCAGGGTTTCGGGTTTCGGGTCGGTTGGGCAGACACAAGGGAAACCGTAAACAGCGGAAACCGAGAGGCACGACACCCCAGCTGGCTTTGCACTTTGCACCACACCGGATGTGGGCTCGGCAGCCACAAACGGGCTTCCCTAAGGTTGGAACCATGATCCCTTACCCTTGTTTATCGGGATCTGAAGTATGTAAGTATGGGCACTTATTATGTATAGTGTATATAACGGCGACATAAAGGGACCGAATATAAGGGCCCACGCGTGGAACCCTCAGAGCTTCAGAGGTGGGTAGTCTTGTCCATAACGACCATCTGGGGAACAAGTCTTGGGGCTTTTTTGTGCATTTGTGTTTTTTAATGTTTCTTGGCGGCTTTGATCAACTACCAGTTACGAGTGGAATTGTCTGGGTTGTGTTTTAAACCCTTTGAAAATTGTTTATGAGTAGGTTCCCTTATAAGGAAAGAAGGGAAATTAAAAAATATCGCCAAGGACAACCCAGTTGCTATTTGCGGGCTAGGGTTTAGGGTTTCTTTGGCACGCGCTCTCTGCTAGCAGTCCAGGTTTGGCGTTTAGCCCCGGAACCTTCAGGGGGTACCTGCTGTGGGCCATTCTCCATACTCACAGTGCCCTAAACCCTAAACCCTAAACCCTAAACCCTAAACCCTAAACCCTAAGCCCCAAACCCTAACCCTAAACCCGCTATGGACCATGGCAAGAAGGCTGCCCTCTGGGTGCGGCAAGAAACTGAGGGGCCTTGGTCTAGGTTTATTGAGTTGAGGCTTCGAATCTCTACAGCCATACAGTGCATCCCTAAACTCCAAAGCGGTTTAGGGTGTAGGGTTTAGGGTTTAGGGTATAGGGTATAGAGTATAGGGTTTAGGGTTCAAAAATCAATTCCGGCCACGGTTGCGCAGGCTCTCCGGCGACAT